CCCACTCGCCCAGCCTGGCGCCCATGCTGGCGATCTGAGTCATGTCCAGCACCCTCGGCTGGACCCACGTGAAGTTGACAAGCTTGTCAACCTCGTCAATTGTGCCTCTCACCAATCCCAGACTCAAGGCCTTCATGACTAGATGCTCAATCTCGTTGGGGCGGACCCTCGTGTCGGCAGCGATGGCGTCAAAGGTCATGGCACGCTGGTGAGGCGGCCGCCGGAAGACAGCCTCGGTCAGTGCTGTCAGGTAGATCTTCTGTCTGATTTCATCCTCGTTGTCGGCAAGTAGCTCGTTGTTGGAGATGTGGCCAGAGAGCTTGTCGTAGGCGACAAGGTCTCCACGGTTGAAGGCGAGAAGGAGCTGGCGCAGCCACTCGGCATCGCCTGTCAGGGCTGCCAGAATGGGGTGCTGTAGCAGCTCGCCAAAGTTGTAGATGGAGTCCGAGACTAATGCAGAGATTCCCAATTCGAAAGCCCTGCTCTTGCGTTCAGCCTCGGAAAGCTCCTTAAGGTCTATGCAAGCGAGGTAGAGTAGGGCGTTGCGGTAGTATGAGGCGTAGTCCTTGACGGAGCTGTAATAGGTAGCATTGGTGCGGTAGAAAGCAGCGTGGACGACACTTTCGACGCTGTCAAAGGTATCGAGGATCTTTTCTGCCCTGTCGAGGTCTTTTCTGGCGCCTTCCTCATCGTCCACCCGGAGCTTCATCAAGGCGACGGCGATCGTGGCATAGACAAAGGCATCTTGTGAGTTCTCGTTGTCGACCTTCTTGGCCAGGTCTTGCAGGAAAGATAGGCGTTCTTCGTCATCTGTCATGGGCTGTTAGCAGACAGCAGCAGCAGCAGTGGTGTAGATTCAAAAGGGTTGCAACATACCCCTACATGCCGAGGCGGCCTTGAGGCCCAGTTGGACAAGCTTCAGTTGGTTGATCTTGTCGGCAAACTTGGAGATGAAGACCTTGTAGAACTGTAGGCGCTGCTTCTGGCTGGCAGGATTCTCGAAGAAATGCATCAGCGAGTCGGTGAGCTGATGCCATAGCTTTCTCTCCCACAGATTCTCGAATTGGATGATGAGGCCCTGGAGCTCCTCGGGAGCTTCGTCCCGCTGGTCGGCGAGGAAGTCGGAGATGGTGTCGACATTCATGATGTCGTGCTGTGGGGGGGGGCCGAGCGGTTTGACGAGATTGATTACTATGGGTTCGTACGAGGCCGTCGATGAGTGGTAGTGGGTTGTGTGTTTGTTTGTTTGTGGTTCTGCTCGAGATTTGTGCAATGGCAGAAGTGACTGTCTGTCTGTCTGTCTGTCTGTCTGTCTGTTTGCCTTCCGAGTGTTTGATTAATGTATGGCCGCTACTAACAGGTGGGCTGGAGGCTGAACGGGAGCTCCAGCAGTGGTACCGTAGGTAAGCTTCGAAGCCCAGGACCCAAGACTCCCCCCGGTCGATGTCACTGGAAAGACGCGGCTAGCTGGCAGCCTGACTGACGGTGGGTCTCTGATTGATGCATGTTAGGTGGTGGATAAGCCCATTGGAGCTAACCTTGGTCCTTGGGTACCTCATGGAGCGTGGCTAGCCTTTGTTCCAAATGCTGTGCCACATTCTTTGTCCCAAGAGCTGTGGCGGGCTGCTGGACGTGTCCGTCGACCCGTGGCTTGAGCTCGTCTGAAATCAGCTGCAGGTGATTGGCGGACCGGTCAAAGTGGCAGCCAGGCCTGCGAGTTCAATTCAAGGTGAAGTGAAGCTCAACATTCACCCATCCATAGCTGCCATCTACGTCCAGCATCGCCAGCTCGACCGGGAATTGGAGAGGCACTGTCGTTCTTGCATTTCCCCGTCCCCCATAAGTCGCAAGGATGGCCTCCTTTCCGACCGCCGTGCGGTCAACCAGAAGACTCGCAATCAACCTCACCCAGCGACGCTCCATTGCCGACGTCGTTGTTACCCGTACCGGCAAGCCCATTCTCCGGTCCCAGGGTGGACGGTATGTCGTTTCCATTCCTTCCAGAGCAATATTCTGACCCTTCTCTGGTCAATTGGTTCCTAGCTGACTCGTTCAATGTTGCAGACACTCGCTTGGAGGTATGGCAATTGAGAGCCCAGAGTGTGGACCCCGTCTAACGCCCGAATTCCAGGTCACACCGCAACGGTATTTGGCGCAACCGGCCAATTGGGACGATACATTGTCAACAGACTTGGTAGGAGACCGCCCGATACCATCTCTTGGACGCCTGCTCTAACAGTCGGACGCAGCTCGCCAAGGATGTCAGGTCGTGATTCCGTATCGCGAGGAAATGGCCAAGCGTCATCTCAAGGTGACGGGTGACCTGGGCCGAGTCCACTTCCTCGAATACGATCTTTACAATACCGAATCCATCGAGGCCAGCGTCAGACACTCGGACGTCGTCTACAACCTGATCGGTCGCACCTATCCCACCAAGAACTACAGCCTCGAGGACGTTCATGTGCAAGGAACCGAGCGCATCGCCGAGGCCGTGGCCAAGTATGATGTCGACCGCTACATCCACGTCTCGTCCTACAATGCCGACCCCAACTCTCCCTCCGAGTTCTTCGCCACAAAGGGCAGGGGCGAGCAGGTCGCCAGGAGCATATTCCCCGAGACCACCATTGTCCGGCCGGCCCCTCTCTTTGGCTTCGAGGACAACCTGCTGATCAAGCTCGCGACTCCCGCTAACCTGTTTACCTCGAATAACATGCAGGAGAGGTACTCGCCAGTTCACGTATGTCATGATATGACTCCCCCGTCTGGAGAGTGGGTAGGGCTAACCGGTCACAGTCGATCGATGTCGGCAAGGCCTTGGAGCTCATGCTCTACGACGACAGCACAGCCGGTCAGACGTTTGAGCTGTACGGACCCACCGAGTACTCGACGGAGGAGATCGCCGAACTGGTGGATCGCGAAATCTTCAAGAAGCGTCGGCACATCAATGTTCCCAAGGCCATCCTGAAGCCTGTAGCAACCCTCTTGAACAAGGTTCTCTGGTGGCCTATCCTGAACGCCGAGGACATTGAGAGGGAATTCATCGACCAGCAGATTGACGAGACCGCCAAGACCTTCAAGGATCTCGACATCACCCCTGGTGATATCAAGGACTTCACATACCACTACCTCCAGGGATACCGAAGCTCGTCATTCTACGATCTCCCGCCGGCAACGGAGAAGGAGAGGAGGGAAGACAGAAAGTACATCCATGTCACCGATGAGCTATAGATAATCCTCGACAGGAGGATCGAAAAACAGACAACTCGTGTGTATTGTACATATAACACCTAGACCGGGGATCTCCTTATTTTGATATTAGTGAAACAGTGAATTTCGACCAAGATGTAGTGGGCCCTTGTCATGAGGTCAGTCGTGCGATGTTGATGCCATTGACACTGCCATTAGATCCATTTTCAACCCGCCTAATGTGCCAAGGTACGAGAGGGTGTTCGTGGTTGTCATGAGTCCTTGCCTTTATTTCCAATTGGGGGATACCCGGGGTCGAGTTTAAGCAGACGTGTTGTCACGAATGCGCGTCACGTTGGAGCAGCTATCGCTGTTGAACCCATGGCGGAATTGGCTGCTCGGGAACGTGGCAGTATGCTTTGAAGAACACGAGAGCTTAAGCAAGCAGCAAAGGACGTTGTGGTATTGAACTGATTCTACTGTACTGTTTGGCTCTGTATCCGTCGTTCGAGCCAGAATGACATGCGTTACGGTTTCCAGTGCAGACAAGGGATCGTGCTCTGTGAGGTAGGTGTCTCTGCAGTTAGCGACACTGTTTATGTATAGGTACTCCTGTTACCATTGGAGATTTCAAATAAGGCCATCTCTATGCTTCGGTGCGCCGAGCAGCAAATGCGCCTGCCATCTAAGCAGAGACGTCAAAATTCATATATAGATAATTCCTCTCGACCAAAGAGGAACGGAAATGGGTATCATGACTCGAGTGAGTTCTAGCCGTCCTGGTAAGCGTCGAGTAAATGCCAGCAAAGGCATCCAATACGCATCGACGCACCAATTGTTTCCTGCTTCGGAAGGAAGGAGGGTATCCCGTCTTTTCCGCCCCAACTTCATGTCGATCCCACTGCCACATCATCTATTGGACCAAAGTGATCACTGAAAACCGCAGGTCTCGCCCATGCACCCCGAACCCCATCTTGGGTGTCCCGGGCAGCCGATTGACCTTCTCGGGGTAAGGTACTCGCCACCCAGTACAACATCTCTGTCTGGCCAATCTCACATGCGTACCAATCCCTTCCGCGCTTCCAAGGTCCGCTGGAGAGCCGGGTTCCCAACAGCGATCAGTCCGCATCACATTGATATACAGATCAACTCCCCGACGTGCTCGCTTTCAACAATCCACGAGATAGCCACTGGCCAAGCAGCCCTTTACAGTAAGCCTGTGTGCTTGAGTAGGAAGCCGTGCCAGCGGACTCCAGATCCGCCTGGTCTCCTCGCCGGCCAGGCTTTCCTCGGCTAGTACACACTGAATACCGACTGGCTTCCGTTATCTTGGACGAGATGGGCGGAAGAGCTCTTGTCGAATGACCGCGCTGTAGATGGTTTGAGCTGTCGGCTTTCCTTCCTCGGCAGTCAGCCCAGGGAGCACGGATTTACAGCACCACTCGAGCTACCGGCCAGCAAAACCCACGCCCAGTGCCCTGACTATCCTGACAACGCATCCTGCCCAGACAACTCTTCTGGTTTCTGGTTGCGATGCAACGTATTGTTTTATGTTGTTGTATCTCTTTCGGTGTGGCTTGGGACGTTCAATACCAACGCCTCAAGCACCTGTGCACGGACACTTTTGAACCAATCAAAAAGACGCTAGCTTCCTCTGCTTAGCGGGACTTCCCGCACACTGCCACGCCACCATCCCAATCCCCGAGTTCAACATCAGAATCACGTTCAACAGCAACAGAACGCCAGGGAGAGCAAGAAACAAAAAAAATAAGACCATCACGACTGTTTGCAGGTCATTGAGGACAACAAAAAATCGACATGTGCAGGATTTGAACCTACGCGACCGAAGCCATGAGATGGCTGAATTGCGCATTGCTATTCAAGTCTCACCCATTAACCACTCTGGCAACATGCCGTGATTGTTGTTGTTGAAAATTTGGGCTTCATTAGCATCTATGACACTGCAAAGCTTAGGGCGGAACTAGCGTGAGGGTGGGGGCTAGGTCTGGGCCGAGGTTCGGCCGCGGTTCAGCCGCAGCGCCTTGCTTGCAGGCGAGGCGAGTCAGGGTAGGTATGGGATGGCAAAGGGCAACAACCATCAATGGGCTGCTATGCTACACTGCTACTAGGCGTACTGCTCCTTATACAATGTACTCTCGTCTGAACGTGGTGTAAGTAAGCCCATGGGTTTTGGGCTTGCTCGGGCTGTCCCAAATCTTGCTTGTCCTTCAAGCTGCGACACTTTGAAAAAATAAAGACGATGAGAACCGAGACGGGGGCTAGAAGTATCATGACGACGTATCCTCGAACTGGCGCCGTTTGGCTTATCCTCCTAACACTTGGGACAAGGAGCAAATGTGACTTTTGAAGTCTTGATTTCCACACATGAGCCGGCCACGAAGTAGCATCTCTGCAAGGGCGCCAACGGTCACATCAAGATCAGCGCCGTCCTTGCTGGGTTGCAAGAGGCTTATATCCTCTTCCTCGAGGTGTTCGTCCCTCTACAGGCTTGACTTGGATTCCTGGCAGATAAATTGTATAATTGATGTTGAGAAATATCTGAGCATGACAACATTATATTCATCCGATAAGGAGCCGCGTACACGGCTAGCTCTGCGACGATGTCTTTCTTTTTCTATCTCTTCTCTTCCTTTCTCTCTTTTCTCGTGACTGAAAGCCAGGTATGTGGAGACTCTTGTTGGGACAATAAGTATTAAGCAGGCTGGAACATTAAGAGCTTCTCAAATCAAGGTTTTGTCTTCATCCGAATTTGTCTTCATCTCAATATGGCATTTCTCCTTGAGAAAGCGTAGGCAGGTGTGTGTCATATAATCCAATAGATACGAGCTAGAGTGAGATTGGAATCCTCAGCTGCCTAGAAGCCAATGTCGTTTTCAACGTCGAGGCACAGCTAATGCGCTCGCATGTCACCTAGGTAGCCGGGAAGCTACCATGGAAGCTTGGCTGTCTGGCTGCCTGGTCGCATGTCGCAATTATAATGGCAAAGGCTCTGCAAGGATCACGGGGGTTAACGAATCCCGGGGGTCAGCTGCTAGACTTTATTGATGCAAGTTGGGGCATATCGCCGCCCGTCTCATGGCGTGTTTGGTCGCTAGCAATGGCTCGTGTATGGCAGAGGAAACGACATGCTGGACAGCAAGCTAAAACTTTGAATACATCAAGTCATCAGTAGTCTCTATATTTCATAAAGCATTGGCACAGTTCGTTGGCCCCCACTGCTCTCCCTAAGCCCTTGACCCAACAACCAAATCCCTCCGAGTCTTTGGGGTATCATTCGACAAAAAGAGAGCACAGAATCTAAGAGGAAGAAAGAGAAGTCCCAGGGTATTGTCATGGCAAACCGATGCGCCAGGGAAACCCAATAACGATTGGAAGGAGAGAAAAACAAGTCATGAAAAGCAGGCCCTGAGGGTATCCCGATCCCAGAACAAAAACAACACCAATCAATCCCGTCTAGACCTGTGCAGAGGAAGCAGCGAAGGCGCCTCCTGGTCGTCGAGATTCCTTCCGCACCGCCCAACCCTTGACGGCTAGTACAAGCACGACCCAGGCCATCAGAAGACCTACAAAACCCATGGTGACGGTGTAAAAAAACATGGCATCCAGGTCGTAGTGGATCATGCCATCAATAGTATCTCCAGACTAGAACATGGGTTAGTATCAGAGTGAGCCCGGGGGTCCACGTCTCTCAGATGGACTTACACTTGCGCAGAAGATGATGCCGCCAGCAATCAAGCCGAACGCGGTGAGCAGCTCCGTCGGCGGGCGCGAGGGCATGACCGAGCGGGGCGGGCGAAGATAGACCAGGACGTAGGTCAAGCCACGGGCGAACGACGCGCCGGTTAGCATATTGCCCCATTGCTTGTGAACCATGCTGGAAATCATGGACTGCTGGGTGTGCGAGCTCATCATGATGCCGAGGAGCATGATGACCAGGGCGGGGATGGGGTTGATCGAGAACTCGTACTGCTTGGGCGCCTGCAGTGCCTCGCGCTCCTCGTCGCTGTAGGCCGCGTCGGGGTGCGAGAGGGCCGCCTCGGCGACGGTCGTGTTGAGCAGCTCGCGAATGCTGGTCGATTCGATGAGCATGGCCAGCAGCCCACCGCCGATGAACAGGACCGTGATGGAAACATGCTCCAGGTCCTGCGCGCTGAACTCGGCCTGGCCAACACTCGCATTTCCCAGGTGCTCCAGGAAGATGTTGGTCGACCCATAAAAGAAGATGAGGAAGCCCTCTACGAACTCGGCCGATGGCCGCCATCTCCGTGAGCTCTGCTTGGGTCTCACATTCCAGGCCTGTCCTCGAGGTTAGCAGACCAGTCATTCCAACGGAGCTGTACAGCACTTACCCAGCCGAGATCTCCGAAGCTGCCGGACCACCTGCCCAGAGTGAGCAATCCATACCAGAAGAAGACGCTGCCCTTGACCCAGTGGGCCAACCCAGTGAAGATGGCGTGACCCTCCTGCTAGACGGTCAGCATATATTATATTCGACGCGCCGCTATACGCGAGCTCGGTTGCCATGACGGGAAGAAGGAGACGTACGAAGAATCTGGCCCAGGTGACGATGCCAGTAGCCAGTGCGATGTAGCCGAGAATCAGAATGGTCCTGTCGACGGCGTTGTATGCGACTTGTAGAACCTTCCAAGTCCTGCCCGAGACCTTCCCGGCGGCCTTGGCAAGAAGCGAGCCGATCCGTGACTTGGGTGGACTCAGATCGGCGGGCTTCAGCTCAAGGTCATTGTCGTCGTCGTTGTCGTCAATGTAGTCCATGCGATGGTCCTCCATGGAACTGGGAGACTGGTGGCCCGGCGAGTGGGAGAGAGAGCTGCCCCTCAAGGACTCGGTGTTGGGCTCGGTACCCTGGCCACTGTCATACGACTGCCTGTACTTGTGCATGTGGATAGCATCGTTGAGGCGTTGGTGCTCGGCCATGTTCTCGGTAGAGACGGGAATAAAAGCTTCCCTCTCCGCCTCGTGGCCGCGGCGCTGGTGCGAGGCCGACCCATTCTGCCGCACCGCGCCGGCCACGCGGCCAGCCAGTCCGACGAGCACCTGAGCAGAGACGGCCCAGGTCGCGATCCAGCCGACCTTGTGGTGGGCATTGTTGGGATACAAGTCTGGCGTCTGGGCATTGTAGCTAATGCCCAGCAGCAGTGCCAGCGCATTTGTTGCGAGGAACACAGCTTGCAGCGTCAACGTGTAACGCGAGCGCGCCAGGGAGAACATGACACCTACAGACAGGGAGAGTTAGTCCACGCTTGCTCCCGGATCCGCGGTCGCGCGAATGGTATACCGTTCCTTACCTAGGGGCAGAATCACAACCCAGCTGAGGACCATGAGGCCAATATGCGCGTATATCAGGCCGCGGTGCTCTGGGTGAGTAAAGTAAGTCGGCGCGTACGACCCAGCATCCGGCTTAGAGGAGTCCTCGGCGCTCATGTCCATGTCCATATCCATCTCCATATCCGCTCCGGCGGCTGCATGCTCGCCTCCGTGTGCGAGGACTGCAGGCAGAGCGCAGAGGACCAGGGCCGCCGCGAAAAGCAGCGACCACGCCGACCTCGCCGCCGACTTCATTTGAGCCTGCGCAATGTCCCTAGAGCTGAACGAGGGTGTACAGCGGCGCCCTTGTCCAAGTCTCTTTCGTGTGGTCTGAAATCTAGAGCAGATTCTCATGCAGCAGCAGTTCCGCCCGGACCGCACCAGTCAGTAGTAGAGCGTGAATGGGCTGGTTCACGTTTGATGCGGGTATACGGGTGATCTAGGTTTAGATCAAGTCCAGTGAGGGTTGACTATTACAATTATAGGCGGCGGCAGCACGACCGTTGACGAGGGAAAAGGTTAAGGAAAAAAAAAAACACACAAGCCGGCGTTGTAGGGTGGGAAGTGGCTACGGCGACGATTATGTATTTATGTAGGCATTATTTTATCCAACGGGCAGCAACACGACCAACGCCGGGATGGGATGGGACGTGGGTTCTTAATTACGTCTTGGTCCTGGGGCGAGCGAGCGTGTGTGCGCGCGCGCTCTCGCGCCAGTCAACAGTGGTGAGGTCGAAAACATGTCCGTGTCTTCCATCGCTGCTAGGCATATGTAAGCAACAAAAGCCGGCCGGGCTTCTCGGCGTTGGGGGTCTGCCTCTCTGGCTTGAGAAGGATGGACATGCTTTGAAACCCCGTCAGACCCCCGGTGCGACGAGGGTTCATAGCTCGCGATTCGCTACGTAGCCACTCGGTCGAAAAAGACTGGAGGCATCATGAGCCAGAAGCGGTAGTGGCCTTGAGTCACATGGAATGACATGCAGATCCGAAGCTTCCGGGAAGCCAAACCACCATCTTTATTTCTTATTTTTATTTCCATTCCCTTCCCTTTGGCTGCGTATTGTCCGTAAGGGAGGGGCCAAGGGCGGAGGAAGGAATCCAACGGAAGAGGCCCAAGGCCCCAAGGACTGGGCACATATGAAAAATGAAATAAAATCATGGGCAAAAACGGCGGTAAGCATGCCGACGAGTGGAGCCACGGATACATACTGTTCGGCATTCTGACAGTACCAACATAGTGCGATAAAGTATGCTCATCGCCTGTCTGCGCAATATGACAGTCGTGGTCGGCAAGGTCGTTTGCTCGTTTGCTCGTGAAAGGGCTCGCATTTTACCACATGGGATTATACTGTAATGGTACTGTGTGTGGACAAGGCACCTAGGGGCACTTGGGAAGCTCTGGAGAAAGCAACAAGCTTGGGGGGCAAGGTGACAAGGTCGGATTTTGGAGACGGCGTCATTAGGCCCACTTGGCTCTCTCTGTTACCGTTGGAAGCCTTGTAACTCGCTCGTTGCTGTCTTGGCCCCCCCCCAACTACGACCCAATGGTGAATTTACTATAAGTCTTGG